TATACACACCATGCTATTCAGCACCTAATTCATTCATAGAAGTGTTTTTCGTGATGTCCGTGAATCGAGCGAGCCTTGCCTTGCGAGAGATGAAGGACTTCCCTCTGGCTGGCAGCCCCACCATCGCAATGATCTCAGCAAGGCACTGATTTCCCAAGTGTCTGACTTGGATAATGTTGACCCCATAATAATCAACCTCAGTTCAACAATAGGGGGGTGTCCCAGGGTGAAATGTGGGGAATCATCACTTTTGGAGGGGAACACCGCCGTATTAACAAACGGGGGTTGATTAATATGGGGTCGACAATGACGGTCGTTGATGTCTGGCTCTGAACACTCCTTCCCCCAATCGGGAGGTAAACAGCGATACACATGCGTCACGTTGCAAATTCGCGGTTCCGTGCAGAACAAAACGAGCAGAATGCTCTTGGAATGTGTTTCTTGAGGTGAAAGACCCTCTTGGACGGTTACTTTCGGAACACAAGCTAACCACTTATGGAGGAGGGGGTCTCTTTTCCCTGAATAACAACTTATTCTTACAGACCCCTTTGAGGCTTCCTGGTGTTCTCAACAAAAATGAATGTCGGGATTTAGGCGTATTGCGAAGGTACCCTCTGGGTGGTTGGCTTAGAGATAAACCAAAAGGACAACTACCATGTCTGGGCGTCCCCCTACTTTGACGCTGTTTCCAAGACAAAGGACCCATAAACATGTCTGGTTTCCCCTTCTCCTGCTTTTGGAGAGAGGGGGTCACCCGAGTTTGACTCCCACCCAAATGGACTAAGACTTTTTGAGCAAACTAGCATAACGTGCAAACTAATAATCTGACTCGACACACCAACCAACCAACTAACCAAAACAACCAAACCAACCAACTAAATCAAACTATTGATAACCTAGGCAAACACCCACTTATTGGTCCCACTAAGTGGGGTTAACTCCGGGGTTAACCTTGTTCTTAGGGGGTTCTACCCCAAGTGGCGTTGTCTACTGACTTGGCGAACCGAACATCCAAGTAGCTAGCCCTTCTATCCTATGGTTGTCAAGGGTCCCCCAATAGGGCCCCCATTTTCAATTTAACAAGGCCTATTCTGGGGCTACTAGGGTTCCTTTTCTAAGGGGGGTCCCCTCTTTCAAGGCCCCTGACAACCATGAGATTCAAACCTTTTCTCCAAACCCCTCGATTCGGGTCCCGCGCCAGGCCGCGCTTGCTGGGCGTGAGCTGCTCACGAAGAAGCCTCAGTTTTTCGGTGCCCAGTGCGTTTTGGTTCTTTTCGCAGACGGTTTGGGCAAAAACGGTTACACAGTTTTAGGCCGTTTTCCGAAAATCCAACCAACATTGTGACGGCTTGTCTGTTGGGCAAACTTTAGTATTAGCCCTATTCTTTTTTTGTAATGAAGCTAAGTGGAAGACCCGACTAAATGGTCAGGGCTTTTGTGCACTGATCAACTCCCTGGTTTCACCTGACCGCCGTGGTGCCGTCAGCGCAAGCGGCGCAGGCGCAGTTGCCAGCGGGGACTGAGTTTCACATGACTCCAAAAGGAAACTCCCTTTTGATTGCCTCCAACAAGTGATGTCTTAACCATCCAAGAAGACATATGTGTATATATATAATTATATATATATATATAATTATAAATATAATTATATATATATATATATAGATCTATCTTGACATGGGGGACCCCTGTCTTCTAGAGTGGCTTTGCTTTTGGCAGACCTAACCCGATCTGCGGCCCGCGGCTGGCGATCCGCTAGGATCTTCTGGCCAGCTTCGGCCACCCCCTGGTAGTACCTAGCTTCGGGTGCCCCGAAAACCTCCTTGTCAGGGAAAACCCCTGGAGCAAAACCGCAAAACCCGTGGAGTACTTTGGAAGTGTTTCTATTTGTTTTGGTTGCTTTTTGAGTACCTCTTTTGGGGGTTGTAAAGGGATGCCCACCCATTATGATAATAGGACAATCAACTGTCTTATCCTCCAAACCTGCAAACTGCGGCTGCTTTCAGTTCAGCATCCCCTTTTGGGATGCCACAAAGGGGCGTGTCAAAACACACTGGGCCCCTCCAAATGATTGGGCTCATGCTTGCTCAACTCGATCTGGACACACGCAACGCCGCAAACCGGCACACGCACACAACACACACGCAAAGACACGCGCACACAAACACAAACACGAACTCTCAAATAAAGCAACAAGCAATACATCAAGCAATGAAGCAAAGACACCAACACAATGAGTTATTTATAAATCGTCACACAAACACACAAAGTCCCGGCGCACGCGTCTCCTGACAAGGAGCTGTGAGTTGATCCCAGGATGAATCCCTGGATGGTGGAGTGTTGCTGGACGGGATGCTTCATCTTTAAACGACACAAAACGAAGCACTTCATTTGAATTTCTGACTTTAAAGACTCTTAGGGAACATTCCTTATACATCTACGTTAGCTAATCTAAGTTAAATATCAACATGCTAAGCGACGTGCGATGGCTCCTGTCTGGATCTCTGAGCCGCACAAACCAAACAAATACAAACCAAACAAATGCACAAAGATTACATACATCTACCAAACCAGGGTGTGAAATAGAGGACATCTGGAGTTGGTGTCCTTTTGGTGAAGTTGTAGATCACATGGGCTATTTGGCCACAACAACAGCATCTCCTGCACTGCTGGCTGCCATATCGCGGTTCCTTGCGCGCTTCGAGTTAGTTTTCGGACCTCCGGCCTATGCTTCCGCTTCTTAGAGGGGGTCACACCAGGGTGCAAAACATGCCGCCGGTGTCGATCATGGAGGAACGTGGGCCCTTTGACCGACTGATGTTTATGACACGTACACGTCTGGATTTGTTCTGGGTGCCCCTGTTGGTCTGATGACTTAATAACATTGGCTTGAGTCCGATGTGACAATTTGGCAAAGCTCCTGTTCCATCTCTCAACAGTGATACTAGATACGAAAACGGTTTACAGTGACTTACAGGGACAGCTTCACGGGTCTTATTTCCTCACGGTGACCTCATGTTTTCATGACTTCGACATGTTCCTAGTGCAAAATCGCGTGAACACCCCAGCATGTCTCAAGCCTCGCGTAAGACACCATGATAGACGCAGCTATGAAGTGCCATGCTCTCTGATTGCACTTTGGCCCGACAAAACAACCGCATGCACCATACCGCGACATATGCTATCTTGATGCAAGGTTCAACTCATGCGATCACTTCTGCAGGACATCTGCCACGAACATTTTCGCTACCAAAGTCCTCCCCAAACCAGCAACACAACGAAGGACCCACTATGCACGGGGCGGAGGTCAGGCGTCCCTTGACCCAAGCCCCCGGCCTGTGGGGGAAGCGCCACTTTGGGCCACTGTTGAGCTTGCTACTGGTCACCAACCACTTTGCTGCAAACGCCTTCCGTGTGGCTTGATCCGGGAATGAGCTCGACTCATATGTGACGACACCGGTTTGAGTTCAGCTCGGTCAGTGAGTCAGGGTCTGGGGTGATCCGAAGATGCGGAATGAGTACTCCAACTGCAGAGGCAGCTTTATCAGGCATGCAGTCAGCTCTGAATGAGCCAAAAACCTTTTGTTCGGACATCGTGGCATGCAATCCGCGACCAACACTTGGCTTGACCGTTTATATATATATATATTCATTTGTATTTTCTGCCAAACATGTACTCGATGAACTGACTATGTTGGTTCTGTCTCTTGTGTGATTTCCCACTGGCTACCTATGCCTGCAAAGCCAAACACCGCAAGCCGAAGGAAACAGATCTAGACTTTGCACCGCATTCTTGTGGGACCTATTTGTGTGGTATTACGGTAAGATCCACTAACAAGGATTGGGGGCACAACTTCGATTGGTGGCCCGACATCTGATCAGTACCTTGGCACGCTCCTTTGGATGCCAGTGTCCACCGGCGTCTGCAGTGCTTCGAGCGCTGCACGTCCTAGCTAACTCAACGGGTGGGCGGTCAATCGCTGTGGATCATTTTGCATCGAGTCATGGCCATATGACTTCCCCAAAAAATCTGCTCGGGGCATGTTCAGTGAGATCGTGCAAGGGCATCAGTTTTGGTGGGCCCTGTATCGTTTTCCATGCAAATTCCGAGGGATCCTGTAAACATGATACGACGCACTTAAATCTGCGTCACAAAGAATTTATGACCCCGCTCAATCAATTCCCCCCCCTGCACCACTATGGCCCCCTGCAAAAATGTGCTATGTAGCGTGTGGGGGAGTGGTGCACCAGATGTAAACCAACAACCCAAGGGAAACATTTGCCATACACAACCTCACTGGAGTGGATTGGCAAACACAGTTGCACACTTTTGTTTGCCACGAAAATTCAAGGGCATTTTCAGGCACGGTTCTTGGCAGCATGGATGCTGATCTCCGACTCCCTCTATGATTGGTATACAGCCTCCTCCATGCCTAGCCCATCCTTGGAAAGTCACTTGATAGACGGTCTCCCAAGACGTATCAAATGCAGAACTCGAGGGAGGAAGCATTGAAGGCCCATCTGATCCAGCTCGAACCGTGAGTGAGCTGAGAGCTGAGGGCCTCTGGTTGGCATGGACAGATCACAGGGTCCATGTGACACCTGCTCTCAGCTTCCAGCAGTATGTACACTAGCCATTGGCCTCTGGCCGTCGCAGGAAGGATCGGCCAATTGGTCAAGGCGAATGGATGCCCAACTGTTAGGAACGCCTTCATCACAACACATCCACTTTCTTGGCCAACCCAAAGGGAAAATTTGAATCTGGTACGACAAAGGCCAGAACTATAGACAAGCAGTCTGATCAGCAGTCTTGATTGCATTCGCGCATCCATGAGCTCTTGCGCACTGATTTGCGGAAGTGATGGCATGCCATTTGCACTCTGAAGCAGGACGGCAACAGGAATCTCAACGTCGCCAGCCAAGCCTAACATAGATGTGTCTCAATGCAGGGGGGCCCCCAAATTTTTTGCTCCTCCTTTTGGCTTCCCTTTAAACCAACCTGAAAAAAGGGTACCCGACAAAGACAGACACCACATCTCTAATCCTACTCCAGCTGCTCCGAAGCGACGCCGCGGAAGATGCGCGCAACAACTCAACTCTCAGGTTGGACGTCCTTAGCCGGCGGACATTCGCAAGGTGCTCGAAGAACACCCTCCAAACGACATGCCTGTGTACACGTTCTTTTTCTGCATTGAACTTGACTTCGGGTGTTGAGCAGTCCAAGCACATGAAGGAAAGAAAACAAAACAAGTTGCACCTTGGCAACCAGTTGCACTCGTTAAAGAGAACCTCAGTTCCAAACCTGGGAAGTTGCCACTAAAATGGTCCAATCCCAAAAAGCGACTAAACCCCGAGTCCCGGAACGCAGGGAGTGAGGAACCAACCTGGGAAGACCCCCCCCCCCCCCTTCCCCCAAGTCCAAAACGGAACCACATAAGAATTCCAGGGCTCGAAATGCCCCCCCCCCCCCCCCAATCAACCATGAAAAAGGTGCCCGGTGGGGATCCTAGGAGTTATTTCCCCATTCTTTGCAACCATCGTTCTTTTCAAAAAGCCGATCGCTGTTTCCCCATTTTTTTTGGGCGGTTTTGTAGAAAGATTCGGATGCTCGGAGAGAATGGACATGGTTTAGTGTCCCCTATCCTGGAAGCTTTCAAGTTGAGGCGCAACAAAGACGAAGTAGGTGCCTTCGCCGCAGTGACTGCCGTTCAGGTCCAGCGTGCCGCTGTCCACCGCCTGGATGGCTCGGGTTTGTAGGATCTACGGACCCAACCCCGAAATGACACCGGATGACACCGGGTTCCTGTTGGTTCCCTTTGAAGCCAAAGGGGTACGTACCATGCAAAAAGGCACACACACACACACGCCTGGCTTTTCCAAGAAGTCACTCCATGAGAACTGACATCTTCCGTGGTAAGCCAAGGGAAGCCGAGGGAACTGAAAACAATCCGGGAATCAAAGCCATATTAACTCAAGAGAGAGTCTTGACCATAGGCGTCCTTTCGGGAAAATAGATGGCCCTGGCAAATGGGGGAAAAAAAGAAGAAGGCAAATCCCAACCACTGCCATCTATTTATAACCAAACTAACCCAAAAAAGACACCTAGGGTCTTGAAGGCTCATGTTTGTCGCATTTCCTTTGGTTCCTTTGCACTTCGTAAGCACTGTGCGTGGAAATCGTTGGGACATCGGGCGCCTTGTAGTAGATGGGACCGTGGTAGGGGCCATTGGGGATGCCCGAGCTCACGGTGCTCTCCATGGTTGTGGACTTGGTCCAGCCTCGCGGTTTTGGCCCAAAGGCCAAAAGAGGGGCGCTTCGTTTTACACAAAACCGGGGAACAAAAAGATATTCGGATTCAGTAGGTATCTTATTTTGAACGGATTTTGAGGTATTATTACTGAATATCCCAAAGAGGGGCGTCGTTTCAAAAGGCTTGCCACGTTGCAAACCAAACGAGGGGCGTCATCTTATACGTGATTTGCAAGGCCGGAACAACGATCGGATCGGAACCTAAGTCTGCCATCGGTGGTGTGAACAGCCGTGGTTGGCGACAAGCAGACCTTGATTTGTCATGGACTTGACAAGTACTCGTGCGGATTAACATGGAACCCAGAAAGCCATGATTTGTAGAGGCATCTCCCATGGGGGGATCCTCTTTATGCTTCCTTCCGTAAATTTGCAGGGGGACATCCAGCGGCTTTTCCCCAATGGGGTCTTCGCCTGCGTTCTCCGCTTGCGGCTTCCAGCCGGTTTCGGGGAAGCAAAGATCTTCCGGGTGGGCCGGCCGTCGAACTCGGGGGTGTGACTAGGAGTTCGTCTGAACCGGCTGCAGGACCCAGAGGGTCTAAGTACCGCATATTTGCGGATTTGAGGAATCTGTCATTGACGAATCCCCATTTTCACCAGACCCAAAGCCGTAAATATGGGGTACTTAGGACTCTCTGGGGGACAACTAGGAGAGCTTTTCATTTTTTGCTCTTTCTAGACGTTTGGCCAGTTTGATGTCAAGTCGTCAACAGGATCTGTCCAGGCTTCGCCGAAACCATCCCTGGTTGACTGTCGAACAAGGTCTGAGCTGGGGAAAATACAGGGATCCCTCAGACAGGATCTCGACATTAGTGAAGCTCTATGGAGCATCAGTTCCCCCACAAGGATCTCCGGATTTGTTGAACCGAAAGCTTCTATTGTTAGGCTGGGTTGCTGTCCCTTTCCCAACAAGTTGAACTGCTACCAGGGGGAATGAGAGAAACTTGACGGTGCAAGACTACCACAGTCTACTTGTACCACAAATAAAGGTAGTACCAAAGTACGAACATACCAAAGGACCGAGATACCGTAATATACAAGAAGAATCCACACACACACACACACGCATACCAGAATACTACCAGAATCCACAACTACACAACTAGGTCCTCCAGTAGAGAGGTTAGAATAAGGGCACCCTCTTTTTTCTGTAGTCTCTTCTAGTAGGGGAACCCTCCCAACCCCAAAAAAGTTGGGTGAGAGGTCGGGCACCTAGCTGGGGGACCTATACAACTACAAAAAACACCACAAACACCACAAACACCAGTCTACTTTTGCCACATAAAGGTAGTGTTAAAGTACCAAGCTATCAAAACGCCGAAATACAGGAACATGCCAAACAAATGCACACAAATACCCGAAGACGACCAGAAGCCACAACTACACCACTACAAACCCCAACACAAAAACCTCCAGGCCACCCCCCCCCCACCAGGCCGGCCTCGGAGCCAAGTGCGTGCCTGTGCGGCATGGCGCTCAGAGCGGAAGTTCAGGTAGACCACCACCTCGAGGCACCCGGAGGTCCAAACACGCGGTATGGTCCAACGGAAACCCAGGCGAAAGACAGAGTTGGGCCGAAGCTTGACTTCGAGTTAGGGTTCTTCAAGAGTTTAGTTTGCTCAAAGTAAGATTTTGATTGTACCTGGTCAAAGTTTGAGTTGGGATGCTCAAAGTTTGGGAACCCATGGGCCTCTGGCAGTTTTGCCCCTAGCTTTTACCACGGAAGAACACGAGTCAGATGGGTGGGTCTTTCCCATAGCTTTAGCAAAGGGGGTTCTTACTGCTATACGGGAGTTTTTGTTGCTCAAAGTTTCCCCCCACGGGCCGGGATTTCTACCCCTGTCTTTGTTTTTAATTAAATAGATTTATTATCTATTTTTAATGATCTTTTTCGTAAATTATGGCACGGGAAAGAATTGCAGGCCCTGGTGCAACATGGCAATGGGTTCATATGGAGACATATAACCAGCCCCTGAGATGGCGAGGCCTCAGGGTGCCTGTGGCTTTCGGTTGCAGCCCCTAGCCGCAGCGCTTGCTGGACATCATTTGGGGGTAGCCCTAAAAGAGGACACACCCATATGGTGTGAATCCTAGGGATCCCTTGAAGTGAATTGGGAGAACCCATGACCATCTGGGAGTGAGAATTCAGTGGGTGGGCCCTGTGATGAACATCATTTTCAGGGATTCATGTCCACCAACCACTTTTGAAGGGATTCCCTATCCTCAGTACTAAAATTCATGGACATTTCTAGCTGCAGGGTGATCACTTGCTAGAAGCCAGGACGCCCCTCCTCCCCCTTCCCCCTTCTTTTCCCACATCTTCCTACGTTGCCCCGTCTCTCCTGCCCCCGCTTCCCCTTGCTCCTTCTTCACACAATGCCGGTGGAAGAACACTTCGAATATGCCGGGAAGCGATACTGTGGATGGGACAAATCCCACGTAAGAAACTGTGGAATGGTCTGATTCCCCCTGGAAATATCAACAAACAATGGTTTCAACCATGGTTTCGTTTCGTGGTGCGAAATGGATTTCGTCCATCCACAGTATCAACATTTGTCACACCCGCAGCCCTGCTCCACCCCCAATAATCTTTTGACAAGCCACAGGCATTCGAATGTTCAGCCGCCACATTGGTAGGTCAGCAGGCGTCCCCTGTGCGGCAGTGCGCCACATCTCGCGTCTCAGCAGCCGCTTAAAACATACAAGATCTCTTCTGCCATGACCTTCCTATTCACGCTGGACAAACTGCATTGTGAGAGACGCTGGCACTTGTTGTCTGAGTGCCTTTTTACCCCAGGTGCCCCTTACTTGGTTTGGCTTGGTGGTGGAGGGGTTTGAAACCAAGGTGACCAGCCTTGTCATCGTTGCTGGTCAGCAAGTATCGCATTGACGGCTTGTCCGCAAAGCTGCCCAAAGAGTAGAAGACGTAATTGCGATCCTGAGATGCGCGCATGATGGCGACTGGCTGACTTTTTAGGGTGTTGCTGCGTAACCAGGTTGAGTTTCAACACATCTTGGGAAAGTGTTTTCAAACATGTACATTCATTACGCCCTAATGCAATTGATGCAGTTTGGGGTCAAGTTGAGTGGCCTGCATAGATTGACCACAAAGACAACGCATTTGGAAAGGAAGTAGGACAGTAGACTCGGCACAAAACAGTTGCTGCAAGATTTTAGGATCTTCTTGAAAGAATAGAGCAACAAGTGACCCATCAGTTGTGGCGCATGTTTTGTGGAGAATGGATGTGGCAAGCCGGTCATGAGGCCGCGTTCGGTTCAAGGTTCGCCTTGTCCCCGGTTATGCTGGCATCTAGCGGAACCGCAACGCGGGTTGGCAGGTCTTCCTCGCTTGAAGTCTGATGCATGGTGCGCTACAAGCGCTCGAAATTCAGAGGTCGTAAAGCCGATTTCGCAGAATCTGGCTGTGCCCTTTTCTTCTTTTGGGGACTCCTTTTTGGCTGATTCCGAAGAGAAACCCAGAGGAAATCAACCATTTTGGGGCCGTCCTCAGATCCCCTGCCAAAACTTGAACCTTTTAGCGGGCTAACCGTTAACAACGAACATGGAAACTACCACTAAACCAACCAGACAGCGAAAAAAAACCCAGGAACCGGATGGCCGGACGCCCCTCACTCGGCCCCGGGCGGTGTGGCAGCGTTGACCCTCCTTGGGCACCGAGTCCAGCAGCTTGATGTCCCTTTTGCTCAGCGCCTGCTTGAACGGAACCGCACCGGGGACACGGGAACGCACGCAGGGGTGTCAAAAGCGTGGCCGCTACGAGGCCATTAGCTGCCTGTTGAAGGGACCGAAAAGGGCTCATATTTTGATAAACCTCCCCACAAGAGAGAGAGAGAGAGAGAGAGAGAGAAAGTTGATTGGGCAAGCGTGGCCAAAACCCCTGGTGGGGGATGTAATCGCGAACTGTTTGGGGCATGAGTGAACGGGAAGGGGGGCCATCCAAACAAAATTGGCTGACTTTGCCATGTCAGAAAGGTCTCCAAGCGAGGGTAGTCTACGGACCCCAGACATGTCGCACCTGCCGATAGTGTGCTTACCACACATCGCCGATTCCTAGCGGTGAATCTTTACGTGCAAACTGGCAGCCAGTGAGCGCCCTTGTCGCATCACGACGTGTAGCTTCGCTTGTACCTTCCCAAACATTCAAGCCAAAGCGGCGCTTTTTTGAACCAGACTTTGCTACCATATGCTGACACTCCCGGTAGCTCCGAAAGGCTCGCAGGAATCTGGACATAGCTCCGCAATGGACCACCACCAGCTCGCTTGAAGGGGTCAGTTGGTGCCAGGAAACGGTGACCCTCGAGACCCGGATGCCGGCCCAGTGACCAGCAAGGTGTATCTTCTGGGTGGATTCTCGCGAGGAACCACCAAACAGAAGGGATTTCAAGGGGAAGGCAGTCCCTTTGCTGATTTGACCAGGCTCCTTATGTTTCCCCCTCAACCACCCCAATCGGCCACAGTTGGCAAGTGATGCTTAAACTGGCTAAGGGACATATAGGGACCTTTGTTCCATTAGGCAATTATGCATGGCAAACCCTGTTGCATGGTTGTTCAGGAAAACGTGTGTTTCAAAACACACCCCCAGTTCCTTTAAACCCTCCAAAAAAAGGAGGTTCCCTCAAAAGCACAAAAACAAGAGGTTCCCTCAAACAAAAACGGTTGCTTAAAACAGGGTTCCCTCAAAAACACGCAAAAACGGTTCCCCAAACGGGTACTTAAAAAAGGGTTCCCTCCAAAACACACGGCCCCAGTTATACGTTGGACCCTTCTACCTGGGAGCAAGGGACCGTCGTTGGCGAAAACCCCTGCCAGTTCCCTCCTCCACCGTGCACGCAGGCCCATGAAGTTTCAGGAACGTCAGCTCCTGAGCTCAGGGATCGACTCAGCGTGTCTTTGGTTCTAATCTTCTTGTACAACTCCCGGTTTTGTCTCAGCGACTTTTCTGAAAACACAACTCCCAGGGTTTTGGTCTCATTCCATCTTGTGACTAAAGAGAAGCAGCTCCCGTCTCAGGTTTGCTCATTTTCGAGTTGCTTTGAGCAGCCCCCTTTGCGCCATCCGTGTCAAGCTCGCAACCTCAAGCACGCCTCTCCTGTGTGCCGCCTTCGGGAGCAATGTAATCGCCTTGGCCAAAGCCAAGAGAATCCCCTTTTGGGCCCCACCTTTTGCAGTTTGGTTTGCAAGTGGGGTAGTCCCTTCTGCGAACGGCAGCTAGAACTCATATGCCAAAGTTGTCTAAGCTCTCTATGGGGCCATGGCCCTTTCCAGCAAGTAAAAGGGTTTGACCATCGCCTGAAGGAGTCCAAACCAATTTCATGAACCTGCTTGGGCAGCTCCCAGGGCTTCTCTTAAGTTTCGTCGAGCGGAGAGGTAGAGCCCTAGGTCGGAGCACCAGATGAACCAAAGGCCACCGATGAGTATAGCGCCAAATGGAGCATAACGTCATAGAAACCACCGGGCGTCAAAAGCACTTGAGGTGAGTTTGCAGGCCAAGTGGTCTCGGCATTTCGTTCATGCAACTTATTCCCTGCCGATCTTCCACAAGCGAAATGGCATCCGGCATCCATTTAGCTCAGTCACCAACCCGAAAACTAAGGGAAACCACAAGGGAAACCAAAGGCATTTTGATGGGTCCCTAAGAAAGACACCACCACTGTTTTTGCACTTGCCCAAAGGGCAAGTAGAAACAAAAGGTTCACCTTTGCGACCTTGACAAAAAAAACCAAAACAGGAATACCAAAAGGTCAAAGGGTGGTCTCCATTGGTATTTGCCACTTTAGGTTTTCCAAAAAAGGACATCCATGGAGTCGTGGTTGAGATTGACCAAATCCCCGAAAAAACGGACAAAGCTCACCACTAAACATCTAGGTCCTCCAGTAGAGAGGTTAGAATAAGGGTACCAACTTTTTTCTGCAATCTATTTTAGTAGGGGAAGCCGCCCACCCAAAAAACGTTGGTGAGAAAGGGCAACAAAAAGGGGTGAGAGGTCGGACACCTAGCTGGGGGACCTAGACATAAATAGGTACCCAAAATGGCTTGCCCTGGTAAATGGAAACATGGACTAAACCCTGCGGTCCATATCCTGGTGGTTTCATTTTGACCCACAACCACATGGGCCATGAATCAAAAGCCCGTACCCCCAGTGAACATCCCAATCCCCACCAAAATAGGTAGCCTAAAATGGGTGGTGCAGCTACCCCAAAATGGGATCCCACTGGTTTTGACATCCACAACCACATGGGCCGTGGGAAAAACCGGTCCCTTATCGAGGCCCAGGCCCAGGACTCCGCTGTGCTTCAGCACGGTGGTGCCGCAGCAGAGCTGCACCAGCTCCACCTCCGTGTCCAGGAGCACGCCTTGGCTGGTTTCTTTTGGCCGGCTCTTTCGGGTGCCCTCGTCTGGTACCAATGGCCGGCGTTTTAAGGGGAAGACGGGGTGCTATAGATCCCACAGCAAAAAGATAAACACTTTTTGCTGGTGAAAAGGAAATATGAGGGGAATCCCAAAAGTTAAATACAGATCCATAATAGCAGTAGAGTAATGGCCGGCTTTTCAGGGGAACCAGGGGGTGTCAATCACGGGGAAATCGAGGGATTCCCGTGGACAACTATTGAACTGTGGTTCACTCCTCTCACTGGAAGAAAGAGGATTGCTTTGACTTCTCGGGAAGTGAACAGTTGGTTGAGTGGTTGGCATCGCCCCAGATTAGTTCACCAACTATCCACCCACTATGCTGGAACCCACCATCCTTCGGGTTTTCTTTGAGACCAACCCAACCACTCCCCAAAGGCCAAACAGTGCACAGATCTCATGTGGAATTTTCTGTGGTGTACCTTAAATTAAACTGTGTCCTGGACAAGGTCAAGTCTTAGGCAATGCCAGCCGCAATCATGACTGCAATATTGACACTCATGTGCATCGATGAATGGTACAGTCAATATTATACTCAGAGTACCCTTTGCAGCCCTTACATACGAGCCAGAGTCAATACTACCCATTTGCTGTAAGGGGATAAGCAAGGCCATCAGGGCTCTGCCTCTCACCTCTCAATGAGGGCAGGATGGTCTCAAATAGGACAAGAAAGGCTTCCGTTTTCCTTTTGGCTTCCCTGGCCAGCCATGGGAAACATTTCCAAGCGTCGAAGCTTCTGCACCAGCACCTTCACGGGAGTCCTTGACTTTGCACCAGGCTCCTGAACGCGCCAGTCGTTGTTTTGTTCTGGTCGACACTCTGTGACTATGCAACAAGAGCATGTATTTGCAACAAAAAACAACACACTCCGGCCATCAATCAAAGGGACTATTTGTGTCGTGACTAGGCTTGGGCATGATGTGAGCAACCAGGGTAAACTGTCTCCTTTGATCTTGGCATGCAAGTTGTGAAGCTCGACAAGGTTCACATCAGCAACAACTGAACCATGAAATCTCATGCTCAAGTGCATTCCTCATGTTCTTTGAAGCTCAAGTGCATTCCTCTAGAAGTTACACAGGGCCAGAACCACATAGACGATTGGAGCGAACAGCTGGGTCTCGAAGCTGCGAGGCTGTGCCTGTCGTTCCCCAACACCCAAAATCGCTTCTAGTTGCCCAAGGCAAAGGTCTGTAACCCCGAGGGCACTCTATGAGTCATCTATGAGTCAACAGTGCTCACAGCTATCCCACCTGATGCTGGCTGTCCATTGCTATCGCCAAACTGGGCTATCGGTGCGACCAAGGCCGTGCCACCATTGAAATCAGACCAAATGGCGGGTCCTGATCCCATAGAAGGCGGCAAACAAAGATACCTTTGTCCGGTTGTATTGGTCCTGGCCTACTTTGGACAACGCCCAGCCATTGCATCTAGCCCTTGTCAAAGCAGCCAACATGAGCAATTCGACTCATTTCGAGGCGACTCCTCCAGTAGAATCTCTCCGCTGATGCCTGGCAAATGGAACTTGATGCTTTTTGGGCTTGGTGAGGCCAGCCACAAACAGGGTGCCACGCTGCCCGTTCTTCGTTTGAAGGGCGAATTTGTCGCCCTGTTCATCTCTCTCGCATTCCTTGTACCCGCAGTACTTGTCCAGGGGCCAGCCCCTCCTGCTCAGTGGCTCTCCCTGGACTAAACAGCTCCGCCGAGTGTATGGTTTCTAGGTCACTCAAAGACTATGACAATGAACATGGAATAACTTGGAGCTCCAAATAGGGTACTCTCAGGCTAGATGCGGTGCCGCCGTGCCGTCCTTTCGTTTTCCAAAAACGGATCCGTCCCATTTAAGAAATCTTCTTGGGCACAAACCATCGGACGTTCGGCCCACACCAGTGAGCCCTCCTTTGGAGACGCCGATCGAGCTGGCCTCGGACCACGACATCCACCGCATCCACACCGGCCGCGTCCCACTTGGCCTTGGCCACTATCCCACCACTTTTCATCCAAGTGAACCGTATCCAAAGTGAAGGGTAGCCTCCCACCAATGAACATGGAACCTGACAGGGGGTTTTAGGACCATTTATTTTGTCAGGTTCCATGTTGACGGGTGGGGAGGGCGCCTACTGGTACATGCGTTTGGTCGCATCTCCGAAATGAGTCCAATGCCGGCCTGGAGAGAAGGCTTGGGCTTGCACACCTGGCGCCATGGAACTGGACTTCACTCTTATTGTGGGCGACCACACGAGCAGGCGTGCTTCTTGAGGGACAACGGGTGAATGAACTTCCAATGGTTCCGTAGGAAGATCGGCAAAACACTAAACTGACCAACTAGAACGACTATGGTTGCATCCGTTGCCCAGCGACCCTGGTAGAAAACTGCCACCCTTTGTAGGGCCAGAACCAAAAGGACACCGATGGTTCCACAATGCTGAGGGCAACTGTTATCATTTCCAAGGGTTTTCAGACAATAATGGGGAAACTGGAAACGCCCGGTGCAAGAAAAGACGGATGGTCGAACAGAACGGACCCCACGAATGAGGAATCCCCAAGTTGCCCCCCACCCCCCCAATAATCGAAGCCACCCTAAGAACCAACCCCAGGATTCTAGACATCGGGCATCTCTTTTTCTTGAGGGGGCAAACACCTTTTCGCGAAGGTCATCTTTCAGCACACCACAGGGAAAACGCCACCTTTTCTAGGTCCTCCAGTAGAGAGGTTAGAATAAGGGTACCCTTTTTTCTGTAGTCTATTTTAGTAGGGGCACCCTCCCAACCAAAAAGGGGTGAGAGGTCGGGCACCTAGCTGGGGGACCTAGACAACTACAAAAGAACCCACAAAACCCGCAAAACACCAACAAAAAAACAAGTTGGTAAAAGGGCACCTAGCTGGGGGACCGCCACCTTTGGAGGCAACGCAAAGGGAACGTAACGCACCGTGGCTCTTCCGGGCCTTATCCCGCAGCTGCGCTGCTCGCTCCAGCAGCAGAAGGGGCCCGCCGCCCTCCACCTCCTGCACCTGCCACGGGTCCACCGCCCCAACGGACTTCCCTTCGCTACCCCTGGGAAAAATAACCACATATGTCCAGTAGTGACAGATTCCCTTCAAAACCAAGAAGGACAAACAGGAAAATATTTTAACTAAGCAAATAGAAGCTGATAGGCGGCTGGTCCCTGCACTTCAAAAGCCACATAAAACCGGCATCGCAACGGTCCTCGTCGCCTTGGCCGCCCACCAGCACCTCTGAGCTGAGATTTTGGCACTTGGCAACAAGCATAAGCAGATTGCGGGTGACCTTTTGGAATAGATGGCAAAATGACTAGAACCGGACTGAAACCACAGTCTAGTTTCAACGAAACTAAGCGAAAGCAGCGATGAAGCAAATGTCAGCATTCACCTGTTGCTTGGGAAAGGACCAATAGTTGACAAACCGCATGTTGGCCAAGCTCTACAACCCTATCGAAATTCATAGCCAAGTTTGAAGTGGTTTCCCTGTGACATGGGCAAAGTGCCAAAGTATGCCAAAGTTGACTCATACTCCAACCTCGGGGTTTGAATTGGCACCTCGCCTCTGGCCTTTCTAGCCTGAAACAGTGTGCATTAAGTCTGGAGTCATAAAATGCAGCCGTACCCACCGGTCGATAGTTTGGGTCACCAGGCATTTGGTGCTTGTTTGTAGTCAGAAAACCTTTCTCTGTCAGTTTGTGTTCCGCACCCCACATGCGCGTGTCAGGATCCATTCTATTTGTCTCAAGATCGTGCGCTTCCTCTGCTCAGCTCCTCCATTCCCCAGCTCAAAACGAGTTGAGGCGATGAAGCAAAACCCACACACATCCCCCACACGCGGCGCCACGGGGCTCCACTTCAAGGGAATTCAGCTGATGGCACTCTGGGCATCCCTGGCGCGCCAGGCAGCGAAGCCTTTGCAGTGCAACAAGGCCTGCGCGGCCGTAGCCAGCCTGCGGCTCCCAAGGGCCCAAAGACCCTGAGGTGTTCCGAGGGGTAAACCCTATTGACCCTCTACAAGGGGTTCAAATCCCCCCAAGCCACCCATCCGAAACACCAAGGGCAAGGTGAGTCACAATCAAAACCCGGTACAAACATGGTCGTACTTCCACAACCATGCTTCAAGGATTACGAAGGCGGAATTCCGCAGCTATTTATGGTTGGGATCGCCCCCTAACCTTCATCTACCCGAATCGGTTTTGATTGTGACTCAGTTGGATTCTGAAGGGTTTGTCTTGACAACAAAGTGGGCCGGTGCCTCACTGCCCCAGTGAAAGGGTTAGCTCGCCCATGTCAAAAAGAATTCGATCGACTGTCGGAAGCTCAATTACAGCAACTTCGATCCCAAAAGATAGTTGGATCGCCATCTTCCACACCTGGAAGATTTGGGCCTTCCACACACCCCACTGACTTCACCTGGCAGATTGATTGCCTTGTAGGCGTCCTTTGATTTCAAGGCTTTTTGCAACCCGAATCCAAGGAGCCGATACCCCGAAAGGTCTTGGACGTGAGCCTCGCTGCATGTCAAGCGGCAGGATCCGTAGGCTTTCTGACCCAAGTCTTCGATCGCAAACTGCGACATGCGACATCTGCGACATCTTCCAAACGGAAGATGTGTAGTTGGCCCGTCCCTTTTGAGTGGTGTTGAGAGAAGGTTTTGAACTAAAAAGAAAACAGCCCCGTTGGTTCTGGGGCGTCCTCGGATACTTCTAGGGGTACCTTCCCCATTCTTTCCAGGAATCCTTCTTTATACAGAACCTTCAGAAACCTAGGGAAAACGGATCCGGTTTTTGAAAAGGAACCATGGTGGAAAAGAATGGAAAAGGAACCACCCCCTAAATACTTGCCGAAACCAACTGATGTACAAAGACAAATCCTTAACAGGTGATGTTCACCTGGCCCAAATTTTGGTGTGTCGAGGGTGTTCTTTTCCAAAGGACACCTATGGGCTTGTCTTAAGTTTCTGGGGTCCACCCAACCTGATGTGGTGTTTCCTTTAGTTTCCCTTGAGACCACGCCAAAAAGGCGGAACCCTTCAAACACTTGCTGGTCAGCAGGGAATGAGACATGGAATGATCCCTTCTTTCCCATCCAACCGGTGGCTTTCTTTGAGGCCGAAACTCCCGGAAGGGCATGCCCTATCGCACCAGCCAGAAAAGGACCCCCCCCCCCCCGCCGATTTTTGTTTTTTCTCCGTCAGGGGACAAGCAACAGTCATTCGATTCGAGTCGCAAGCATCGCCTGGTGCAAAGGTTGGCGCCCCGAAGCGACATCGCCTCGAGTCCTTCACTGGGCAGAGGAAATGGAGGGACCCCTGCACTGGTTCCGGGGGCCCGGGGGTTCAGGGCCACCATTAAAACAATGGTTGGGTTCACATGTTCACCATCATGGTTTACCGTGGATTGTCATCGTCCAAATTGGGTCCCCTGAACCCTAGGGTTGCTGCAAGGGAACATTCAAGTGCCACGTTTAGATGTGGAAGTGAACGGAAGTGAAGCTCTTTGCGAGCTTTGAGTTCTCCTCAGTCTCGCCCCTTGGCAGGATCTTGGCTTTGCTTCCACGCAACCAACAGAATAAGTGCTAAGCTAGGGACTACCCCGAATCCAGGGACAAGCATCTCTAATCTCCGCCTATACCCAAGACGCAAATCCTGGCGGAGTTCAAGCTGCGCGGTCCTTCGTGCCAGCTACATAAGATTGCCAGCACGAGGAGTTGCACGGACATTCTAAACGGCTGCGCCACTGAGCCACAGACAAGATCCGCTTCGCGTCAGTTGAGATTGGCGGGTTGTCCCAGTATTCATAGGGGTGACTCCCACCATATTTGTAGTTTTCCTTTCGGTTGCCCTTTAAAAGCAACCAACAAGGGCCACCCCCAAAAAGACACACCCATAGGGTTTCATCCATCCACAACTTGTTTCAACGGCACGCTTTCTTTTCGGCACACAGAACGCCCGCTGCCGTACAGACGCGTTGTAAAGCCTCCGCCTAAGGCGAGGCGACCGGGAGCAATGGGACCAGCATGGATACCCCAAAAGCATAGAATTTGCACAGGGGTTCCAGAAGAGGAAAATGATCCTCCAGGAGCCACTGTGCAGGTTCTATCTTTGTTTTTGGGATGGTCCTTTTCAAGACAGTGCAAGCACTGTAAAAGAAATCATTGTATAAGAAACTGCGGGGCTGAGATTCCCAAGTCAAGCATGTTGCAACTGCATTTGCTGCTAAGAAATTGAGCCTCCCTGGATTTTTCCTGGTACTGCTACACCAGCTCACCCTGGTATGGAGTGGGCCTTGGAATTCTTAGCAGCCTTTTCGGGCGATGAAGGACTCGTCTAAGAAATTCCTTCCCCTAGAAGAAGACAAGGTTAAGAGATTGGCTAAGAAATCCAGCCCCGTGGCTCCAGAGTCTTTTAAACAGGAAATGGACCCTAAGAAGTTCAACCGATTTCTTACGCGCTCGCACTGTAAACCACAAAGGAAACCACTTGTTTGGAATTCCTCTATTCTGGCACACACTAACATTCAGGGGCCACCGCATACACATTCGCTAGCAACACACCCATGACTGTGCAGTCTTGAAACTTGCTGGCCTTGTCTTCGGCGAAGTGCTCTGAAGCAAAGAGAGGGTGGAAAATGAAGGATCTTTCTGGACCATCAAGTTGAACCTGCACACGCGTTGTGCAAAATGCTCACGACAGCCTCCCCAACTGTTCGCCCAACATACCAAACTTCTACACTCCGTGATTCATGCCAGTGACATCAACCATTGAAGTGCTGCGAGTGAGCGCAAGCAAAGCATCTGTCGGATAATATGGGCTGAAATCTGATCTGTTTCCTTCCACATCTGCAATCCGAATTCTTCTCAATTAGCTCAAATTGCTGCATATCATTCTGAACCTCCCACAAGCATGTACTTTGGCTGTGACAGGATCTCAGGGGCGGTGTGTTGCAACAGATTCTCGTCAACCTTTCGGAGTGCCAACTCTGTGCGAATATGGGTCTTTCTTTTTTTGCGGGTACCCTTTCCTCGTGGTTTTAAAGGGAAACTAAGAGGACCACCACCCATTTTTGGGCGGGTCCCTAAAAAAAGACACACCCACATGCATCCCTCACCGCAAACTCGTGAGCCTGGCAAATCGGAGTCATCTGGATCTGGACCCCGCCTCGCGCAGGCGGTTGGTTTGAAGCCGCCGCTGCGGTAAGATGCAAACCTTCGGCGACAAGGCCGGGCGCTGCAGGCGCTGCTGGGGCCTCGCGCTCACCGGCGGGACCGGCTGGCGGCTGGCAGGTGGAGGTGCCAGTGGAGTGGAGTTGGCCCACGCCCGCGGAGTGGACAATTGGCTGGAATTATGTAAGTGCGTTCAGTGCGCTTATGGAAATCGGTCCAAAAGAGAAAAGGACTTGTGGGGGGTCAAAAGTTAAAAAGCTTGCAAGCAAGCCGCCGGCTTCAAACATTGAGGGGGAGCAATACCCTAATACCAACCTCCTTCAAGGCACAGTTCTCAGCCGACGCCCTACCTCAGGGTGTTGAGGGGACGCCAATTACATGGTCCAGGTGTTAAAGAGCGCAACACTGTAACAAGCAACACAAAACCTTGTCGTTTCTGTCTAGAGTACCCCTCATGCAACTTCCAAGCTCCTTCTCCGGATCTTTTTGGGATGAGGCCGACTGGAATAGGCAAATAGTACGTGCAAATCATTGCAACCTTCTGCGACCCCAAGCATTTCCAGTGGAAACCAAGCAGCCATCAACAATCACCTTGAGCAAAATGACTCTTGCAGCATCAAATTGGAGCTTTCGCGCAGCCTGCCTGGATTCCAGCTCACCTGCCTCGATCAGCAGGCGAACTAGGGCCGATTGCTCCTTGGCAAGGAGAGCGACAGCATCCCTCGCTTGCGAAATCTGCTCCCCTGCTAAAAGTTTAACTTTTAGTGGTTCAATGAAAAGCCCACCAGTTGGCAAAAAGTTAAAGTGCGCCAAAGCTAAAACGGCAAGCCTTCAATACCGTGGACGGACAGAATCCTGCACCATGAGATGGATGCAACCCGAGGGAATTGTGGGATAAAGACCCCCACCAACCGGTGCGAAGGTTGGCAAGTGTTCGCATCACAGGCTGCAGGCCTCGCGTCGAAGTTGTGTCAGCCACGCTGAAAACTTGTTTCCCCCAAGAGGACTTGGGATAAAAAAAACGTGTCACCCTGATCATGCTTTTCTCAAACGAACCATAGACTACCAGGAAGTTTGACCGGACCTCACATCTGCCTCTATTTTCACCCCAGTCTAAAGGGAGACCAAAAGGAACACCGCAATTTTTTTAAGGCCCCACTATTTTGACACGTACCCTGTGCTTCAACTAATCTTGGCCCACTGCCTGTTGCCTGTTCCCACCCTTCATGACGAATTGGAGTGCAGCGGCGTAGTAAGGCTTGCAGTGGTGCCGCCTGGAAAGGTTCCCTTCCCAGAGCAGCCGCAGCAAACAGGAGCTCCACTTGGACCTGACGAGTGGCTCACACTCACTGAGCTTTGCTTTTGCAAGGTAGCTTTGTACATCCCCCCTTTGCATACAGGGGCAAATGACACCCCCAAAGCTCATGCGATTCATGAGAGAGGTACATGCCGTACAGGCCCCCTATAAAGTGGGATGGTGACCAAGTTATGCAACGTGCAGCCTTAGACAAAGGACAATCATGTGCGCAGCATCCTGTCCATTTGGCATTTGCTCAGAACTCGTTCAGGCTCAGCCCGTTTTGCAGGGTGCTTTCTCCCCCAAAAATGGCTCCATCCACTGAAAGGCAGAATCTCCGAGCTCCTTTTGAACAAATAGATGGCAGTGAGCGATTCAAACCGAGCTGAATTCAGAGTCCATAAGTTTCCCAGAAGCCACCCCCCAGACATTCTCCACATCCGCGGATGAGCCGAATACAAACTCTCAGACTATTTCTAGCCAAACCTCCCCAGGACATTGGCCAATTAGCCAAATGGTTGCAGTTGGCCCCTCTGCAATTTTTTTCTAAAAAAAAATGCGGGTTCAATGGAAACACCCTGGACTTCCCAAAAAGCTAAAGTCTAAAGATCCATCCTAATAGCACTCAAGAAATGCACACCAAAACCTCACCCAAATTGGCAGCGTTGGATACCTTTGCTCGCCCCTTCGGCCTGCGCAGTATCATCACTCCACAGTTCACGCGGCACTCCGCGGACAAATCCTCCTGGATAATGAGGTCCCGGCCCTCGGCCTCAGGGTGAAACCAGCTCGGTCTCAAGGGACACCGAGAGGAACACCTCCAATAGGGACCCCCCAGTTTGGCACATACACCTGTATTCCGATTCTGGGTTCATTGCCCCTATTTGCTTGAATCTGGGCAAGTGACCCTTTGCAATCGATACGTAACCCCGCACCATCCGCCTGTCAAATCTGCACGCGCGAAAGTAAGGCCTTCTGCTGATGACATGCTCTGAACCGGGTTCGCACAAGGTGTTTTTTTTTTGGGCGAAGCAATCTTGGAGGCTGGTTCTCAGCAGGGTCCTTGAGGCAATGAACCCTGATTTGGTTTTCTTTAAGGGAATTCCCTTCCGGTTCAAAGTCTTGGCAAATTGGAGGCTGCTTGTGAGGCAAAAGCAGTCGCAGACTCGAATTTTAGCCTTTGACATGGAGCTGGATGCAGAAACTGAGCAGCGTCATCTGAGCCGGCAAAACTCATGGACTTTGGGCTCTGCCATAAAGTTTTTACATAGGCCTTATACTCTGCTTTCTATCAGGTGGCCCTAAGCTGTCGCTTGCCAGGGTTTTCGGGGGCTCCTCTTTCCTGTTCCCTGCCTCTTGGATGAAGGAATCCAGCGTCTTTGCTTGGTCGATCACCACCGCATCAGCATCCACCCAAAGCACGTGGCTATGTTGACCTTCAGCCATCACGCGTCGCAGCATCAGCACCTGGAAGCGGTGCGAGGAAAACAAGCTGGATGGCCAGGTTCAAGGTCCACTGTAGATCAAGATTTACTGAAACACGCCAGGTGTAGTGACGTGTCATGCTTCAGGAATTATCTTGACTTGAGTCATGTTATGATCACATGAAATGACTTAAGCCCAGCGAATTGGTGAAACATACAATGTGGGCGAAGGATTCACCAACTCAAAAGGGTTCAACAAAGGGGTTCCCTGTCAGTGAGGTTGCACTCCCCCGAGAAGGTCGCTACAATCTGCAGATAGTCTGACAGACGTCGAGTTGGAATCCTTTGCAAGAACCCCGAGGCTTTGTGCAGAATAAACATGTTTCAACCAGGGCATCCCTTAAAATCTAAACCACACTTACAAGCCCTAACCCCCAACCGCCACGGACAAGATCATCCTCGTTTGCTTGATTTTCAAGTGGGAGTTTCCTACGGTAGCGACCCCCTTTTTTTGGATGGAGTGAAAGTGAAACCCAACGGACAACACAGATTTTGTATAAGTATGACGATATATACACATACAAATTACATGTGTACACACACGTATATATTTATATCTACATATATACATACATATATATATATATATATACATATGATTGAAAGGGCTCCACCAAGAAACAGGCAAGTCTGGCTGTGTGCAAGCATCGCCTTGTACCAGGTGTGAGCGTCCCGAGGGGCAACCGCCTCCAGCATGTCGCGCCCAGGAAGCGCATCGCACAGGAAATCATAGCCGTGCTTCGCTGCATACCTCAGGCACCCCGCGGAAAGGGCCCCAGCATTGCTCCCTTTGAGGCACTTCTCCAAAAAACGGAACCCCTATTCCAGGAACATTGTTTTCCAGGTTACTTCCTCTGGCAGCTGAACAAAGCGTGAACCTCACTTAGTCTGACAGCCAAGCCGCTCATGGTTTGCAGCTGCACAAATGTTGCCAGGTGCATAATTTGTAGAATAGGCGGTGATTATCAAAATGCCACTGCCACTTCCTCCGCTGAATGCATATGTGTGGCAATGATGAATCCGCGATCGTGGCAATGATGATTCAGCCCCTGTGATGTACCAACGGGCCAACTACTTGCTGGCATGAACTGTTGTGAAACAATGGGCAGGGATACACTTGCAGAATGCAAACTCGCAAGCGCACAAAAACAAGAAACACCTGCTCAAAAAGGGTCAGGCCAGCTTGCAGGATAACCGCTATTCGTCATTTGCAGGACATTGTTATCACTGTGCATTTCTGCACTCATGGCGCTTTTCTCATGTCGCACCTATGGATTTGCCCCCTGGGCTTCGTCAAGCCAAACTGGCCGAGCATCTGAATCTGCTGTGCATGGTTGAAGCCAAGCTGCGCTATGATGGATTACTTCACAGCGCCACCAAATGTTATTTGGTTCAACCACGATCCATCTGCCTGTGCCGAGCAGTTGATTGAGCGGCTCGACACTGTCTCGGCACTCCCACCTCTCTTGTGGGAACACCGGCAATCATGGCAGGATTCGGCACCCATTTCACGTGTGATTCGGATTCACGTAGCTGCCGTTCAATTACCTGCGTCTCGATTGCAGTGCGTTTGTCAGCAGCATGCCCAGAAGACTCGTTGGTCAGGTGGTCAAAAATAAAATGGACGTTGTTCTGCGGAAGAGGCATGAGACTCCAACCGCTGATCCTTGAGATGGCGTTGCCAGTCCTTCATGTCGAACGCGGCGTCAACCGCTCCTGGAACGTGATGCGCCACATCAGCTCTGCAAGCCCCCGAGACATTGCTTGGGTCTCTGCCGCCAAGGTAGAGTTCATCGCTCGATATAATTAATTATTCCAATGCAGAAGCTCACACTTGCTCCGTGAGCCACCGCAGTTTTTCTCCAGCTCCAGCGGTTTCAGTCCGGCACAACGTATAAAACGTGAGGTTGGCGGGGGTGATGACGTCTGTGGTCCTGACCCTTGTGGTGCATCCGACGCTTGGCTGGTTCCGCCGCAAACATGCAAGTTTCACTCCTCCGAATCTCTGCTGTTGCCATGACGCTCTAGCTCGAATGGTCTTGTGAGCGCTCCCCATCTGCGTCAGCTTCTCCGCGAAACCTCCCAGGAACTCACGCCCTTGATCGCAATCACAAGTTGCGGAACTCCACATGAACGCATCCAGCTCCTCTGAAAAGCTGAGCGGTTCTGCGCAATCGATGATGTTGCAATCGATGATGTTGAGCACCGGCGCGGCCTGTCGTGGCTTCACCCTGCAAAGTGCACCGCGCCCGCGCCCATGACTTGACCATGCGCCAAACACGTGCGTTGATGGCCTCCAAGCCGTTGGGCGCTGCTGTCCTTTGCAGATGTCGCAGAACTCCTTCTGCGCGTGCTTCCGCACTGAGGTCCTGGCGCTTGCCAGTCGCAACATCCGGGCAGAGTCAGCGTTGGCTGGACATCTTGGGGTGCAGCTCTTGGACCATCTTTTTGTCTCGTTCCGTGAGTTCTCGACTGGACTCCCATCCTCCACTGCGCCCGCGGCATCTGCCTGCTCTCGCAAGTCAGGCTTGCCTGCGGTCTCGTCTTCTCTGACAAAGACCTGCATCTGGTTTGGGTGGAAGATCAAGATCAGCAGCGGGAATGGGCTCTTCCTGGTAGACGCTCGGTCCCACAAATGGCAAGCTTGTTGAAGGATCACCCACCAGTTCTTCACCGCTCTCTTGGGGTTGGGCGTGAAGGAAGACTCTGGCTGGCCCACGTTTTCAATGTGCATCTTCACCGCTCGGTCGATCAGACTCATGGCTCGGGGTGTGCAGGTTGACTCAACGTTGGGCTGTCATGATTGGAAAGTTCGTAATTCCACTCAACCCGTTGAACTCCGTTCAAAACATCGAATATGTCCGTCCACATTGCTTGGCTACTTCGATTCAAACGGGTAAGGACCAGCCGTGCTTCCCGAACACTACTGACACAAGCGGCCATTCGGGTTTCAGGTACAGCTCCCTCAACAGTGAAATTGGTAGCAGCAGGGAACCACCTCCTTGCTTGTTCAACTTGTGCGGACAAAGGCCAAAGCATTTCAACTCTTCTTCAAGACGGGACAGGGCTCCCTTCCCAGTCCTTGATGGAGTAGTTTTGGAAGTCTAGGTCTATGTCCTCAGGCGGGCCGTGACTGCTCATGGAAGTTCCTGCAAAGCTTCGTCCATTTCGCACGACATTCTTTTGCCCAGAGCCCGATCTTTCCGCACCTCGCGCACCTCGTCCGCAGCGTCAACATTTCCACATGTGCTCGAGCTCCTCGTCCAGCACTCGGCTTGCCCTTGCCCTTGCCCTTGGCGCCCTTGCCTTTGCAGGGGTAACGTCCACAGCCATGCCGCTGGTCCTTGCAAGCCTTCCGAACTTCTTGGTACGTTGCCAGGGCCTCGTGGAACTCCTCGCTTTCTCGTAGATCTCGTTCAGGTCGCACTCGCCCAAATACACATAACCCTCTTCCAAGACCTCATCCTCTTCCATCAGGTACGGTAGTTGCCTCCGTTGATGCCCTCGTCCATGGCCTCGTTGCCTTCCATGGAGTTAGCTCCGACCACCCTTGTCTTTCTGCACCTTCTCGAGCTTCCGCAACGCCGTCACGATGGTCTGTCTACGCACTCACCTGATGTTCTTGCACGCTCGTCAGCGCGGCTAGCCCTTGGCCTTGGTCTGCAGCCAAACTCCTTCATCTTGGAGTCTGGCAAAAGCTGCCTCCGCCCTGATGATGTGTTCGCTTGCCTTCCCTCGCTTATGCATGGCCGGCTCCAGGTAAGGCTGGAAGTGCTCCTTCAGCTTTTCCAGAATGGCCCAAATTCCAATGACCAGCTCCACCGGCATCTCGTCCCTTGTCACTCCGCTGAGGTTCCTGCGCCCCTTGGTGCCCTGCTTCTTCACGTACGTCCCGTGCCTCCATAAGCGCGAGATCGTGTGTGCACCGCCTGAACTTCTCTGGCGACTCGCCTGCGAACCGCTCCGCTGCCACTGTGCATTTCTCCACTCATGGCGCTTTTCTGTTTGCCCCCTGGGCCTCGTCAAGCCAAAATGGCTGAGCATGTGAATGCTGTAGATGGTTGAAGCCAAGCTGTGCTATGATGCTTTCACAATCATTGACAGCAATACTAGAAACAGTCATGAAATTAATAAGACATAAATCAATACATAGCCATCTAAATAAGAAACAAAACAAACACACAAATAACTATGTACATGAATAATATTAACAAGTAAACACAAAGACACCTATATATATAAACAAGCAAATACATAGAAACACATAATTCAACAAATCAATAACTACACGAATGAACCAAACCAATACATAAACAAATAAATCAATAGAAAGCAAGACCACAAGAAAGAACAAAAGACACACAACAACAAGAAAGAAAGAGAGAAAGAAAGACAGACAGACAGACAGAAAGAAAGAACTAACAATAAATAAATAAAT